ACTGAGTGAGAGTCCAAGACTCACAGGAAAAATGCATGATCTAAAGACTATCACTTTAACTAATTCACAGGTGCTATTAAACATTATTACAGTCTGAAATGCCACACTCATATGCCATTATTCATATGGTATTTATTTTAGATAGTGGAAGATAAACCTGATTTATTCTGGTCTGTGGCTATTATGCACTCAGGTTTCACACAGTTTGTTGGGACCTTTAAATTGTACCCTTATTTAAGAAATGTACAATCCTTACACTGTAACATGGCATAAAGTGACAAAGGTTACACATTGTTCAATTGTATATACTGAAAAATACAAATGTGATCTAATTTTAAGAAACTAGTTAAAATCAGAAAGAAAAACAGTCAGCTTTGCAAGTGTCTAACATTTTATGCATCTAAAATCAGCTGTATATGTGATTGTAACAGTCTCATAAAAGCATGCAGCAAAAAGTAAAGGTGTGCTCCATGCAGAGTGGCAAGGATCACATCAGAGGTCCTGGGTAGTTAGCACCCTTTGGATATTTCCTCCAGGGTTTGTATGTTGTTGGGAAACGAATAGGCAGACAGACTGGCTGGTTCTGCAGCACCTGGTGGAGCGAGTGAACAGTGAGGAGGCAAAAATCGATCATCTTGACTTGAGAAGAATCGTGCAACAGAGAGTGACCAGGGGATCTGGTCGACACTCAAAGCTCAGGGATAAGGCAAAGCGTACATACAATCAGACTGCTACTGGTACCACTGGAACTGGAACACTGAGGTGGCTGCTGAAGATGAGGATGCAGCGCTTACAGGAATGTCCCCAGAGCTATAATACCAGTTCTTAAATCCCTACAAACCCCTACAAATTAAAACAGCACTTGATGCTATAACACAGCAGCTACACAACACAAGCACTCTTTTAACCTGGAAAAGGCTAAAACTCAGTAGTTATTTGGAGAGATGGAGGGTTTGGTTCCTGGAAGGAGAGGCAGGGATCAATCAGTGCGACAGAGGACACAGGATATCAAGGACACGCTGGGCACGAAAGTTCATAAGGAAAGTTGACAAGTTCCTGAGCAAAAAAGGACACCCACTCACATAAAAGGACAAAAATGCAGGTCCAGACTTCCCATGTGGCTTCTGAGGCCCTATTATAGGGAACCAAAAATAGACTCCCTGTCAACCCAAAAGCATGTCATAAGAGTCGACTAATTGGGAGCTTCATTTGAAGTCGGAGTGCACCGGTTTGAGAAGCAAGGAACCAACAGTCAGCACACAAATGAGTCAGATCTGTCAAATGGATGCACACGCAACACCCAGATTCAGAAACATTGCAGAAACAACCAGAACTTTCTGCCAGAGTTTACAGCCCGTGAACACGAAGAAGACGAAGACAGGCCCAGATATGTAACAAGGGACAACATGACACACTGGTAGTGACATTTAGTCATTTCTAATGGTACACAAACTATTAAAGCCAATAAACTTGGCCTAAATAACACATTTCTGCCAATCATTTAAAGCACGTGCGCTTGCATGCACTCATGCATGCACACAAACACACACACACAAAAACATACACATACACACAGAGGGGGGAAAACACCAAACCACAACTGCAACCAAAGCTGCTCGCAGAAGGTTGATGTCATCCACTTACATTTGTTCTTCTCAAAATGGATGGATGCAAGAAACTGAGTGGCTCTACAGTAAGCCAGGAAGAGAGCAACATTAGGCAAAGAATTTGCTGCATAATAATGAATATTAGCAAATCTCGTTATGAAAAAAAATAATCATCTAAAGTTTTACAAGTTTAAAAATCGTACATGGATTTTATGAGTATCTTATAAAGTATGCAGATACATCTATCTAAACATACTACAAATATACATATATACATGGAAATTTTCAAAACAATGATTGATATAACTTCCTATTATGATATGTTAATTCTCAATGTTACGCATTCATTAACGGATAGTAGAATGTAAATATCAGGATCAGACAAACATAAACACCCATTACCTTGAAAAAAAAAAAAACTCTATATATGCCAGTTTTGACTTATCCATGGTTGGTTGGTTTTTCAAAACTGGCATATAGAGGGAATTAAATGGTATGATAGAATAACTAATGTAGAACTTTGAGAGAGAACTAAACAGGCTCCAGTGGACCAAGAGGTGAGGAAAAGATGCACACACTGAGAAAACAGGAGAACAGCATAACTAGAATGTCTTTGCATTGGAACCCACAGGGGCATATAAATAAAGAAAGGCCAAAAAACACATGTAGAAGAGAGCTAGAGAATGAAGTTAGAAAGATGGGGAGGACATGGGGAGAGCTCCATGTAATAGCGAAGGATAGAACGACTTGGCGTGAGTTAGTTAAGGGCCTATGCTCCATTGGGGGATAGAAAGGCAGTAGAAGAATATGCCAGTTATGACCCAGAAGGGCTGAACAGGATATTTTTATATTTGATATTTTGATAAAACTACCTTTAATAATTCTTAGTGATATAAAACCTGCACAAGAAATAATATCTACTTAGGTATTCAATAAGACAATGCTTCAGAAATTTGCAAGGTTCTAATTGTAGAAGACTTTTCTTAACACAGGAGCTCTTGGCAGAGCGGCTAGATGCTAGCCGCGGATCAGTAGGTCGTGGGTTCGCTCCCTGGCAGAGCCAGGCTTTTTTCAAAAACACCTTGGCTCCTAAGTCGACCCAGCCTTGAGTGGGTACCGGGTAGTACCGGGAAGTAAAGGCGGCCAGCGAATTGCTGACCAAATCACCCATCTTGTGCCGATTGGTCTATAAAATATAGGTCTAGCCCTATATGCCCTATATGCCTCATGGTGTGGAAAAGGACCTTTACTTACTTTTCTTAACATGAACGTAGGTCTTGCTAGTCACACATGCCATCGCCAAGGGCTGGGACTCCCACGAATCTCTAAAGCCATATATATCATTATCCCCTGGAAAGAACAAAAAGGTGCCAACAAGCCAACAGCATTTAATCAAATGTGAATTTTCCTTGAATGCTGGCCATAATTTTTGGAATGAATTTTATGTTTTTGGGGTGTTTAATGTGACATCATTTATTAGAACATCAAATAATCAAATGGTTTGGTTATCTGGTCAGAAGGGAACAAAATCAGCCAACAACTACAGCTTACTTATAAGAACAGTAGACCACATGGCAAGAGACCAAACAAAAAAGATATGGGTGGATGGAGTAAAAGAAACGCTACAGAAACACACTTTCGAACTTGCAGCTTCTTCAGCATGTTTTATTCTAAACATACTGGTTTGAACTTTCCCTTGGAAAGCAAGGGAGTAAGCAAAAGAGACAAAGAGTGGAATAACATTGCATCCCAACAGAACTGATGGCAGAAGTTTGACTCAAAGCAAGGCAGGTGCCATCACACAACAAGCTCTAAATCTAGACCCCCCCCCCCCCCCCCCATGCAACCACTGCCGGCACCAAGCCCCAGGAGACGCAGCACAAGAACCGCCACAAAACCCCACCAGACAGAAGAACTGATAGCCCTTCTCAGGGCTAGCAGACCACCTCACCAAACATAAAAATCGCCCAATCAGAAGAAGCCGAAACAACGCCAGCCAAAAAACTGCATTTGACATGAAGCTATAAAGAAATTCAAACTCAAGCAAGTTAGCCAAGAAAAAACTCTTATGATATAACATGTTGTCTGGAAAGTTTAAAGTCTGGGAAGTTGCTTTTTGAAAGCTTGACATTTTTGTTTTACAAGAACCTGATCTGACCAAACGATCTGCATACATATGAGTCAGATCTGTTAAAAAAACAATGTCCATGCAATACTCAAAGCTGTGCAAGAAGACTGAAGTCCAGAAATGGGCAATGACCAAAACGTTTTGCCAGAGTTTACAGATCGTAAACACAAAGATGAAGAAGAGGAGGAAGAACAAGAACAAGAAGACAACATTTATTTAATAAACTATTTTACTATAGGATTTAAAAACACTTTTATATTTTTGAAAACAGTTGGTCCTTTATATTTTCAGAGGTAATTTGATGGTTTTTAAGAAATTCATTTTCCAGTTAATTTTGACCAATTAGGCTTTTTTCTTAATTCCCTACCAAACTGCATTAAATATGGCTCTGGGGGAAAAAAAAACAGCAACAAGCACATAAAATGGCATCCAAGATGGCTTACTGCCTAAGTAAACTAGGTGCTAATTTATTTATTTTTTAAAATACAATACAGCATTAAGGCATAAGGCAATGGACTTGCTATCCCTCCAGCTACATAGCTACATCCAGGACTGTCAACAGTTTATCATCATGGTTTAGCCACTGAGGTTACTTCCCAGCACTTGCTCACGAATTAGCTTTAAAAATTTTCTTAGTCCTGGATAAATTGCTGAATTTTGTTAGCATATTCTGCAGAATTTGAGATTCCTTGTATCAAGATTGCTGAGACCGATAATTGGCTACAGTAGTGGCTACATTTGAAATTAAATAGACAGCTTTTGAGACATGGCTGGGAAGTTACTTTTTGATTCATTAAAATGTGTCTACCCATAATAAAACTATTTTAAAATCAGTTTAATCATAATTACTTGTTTTCTTTAATCAATAGAATATTGAGGGGAAAAGGGGAGTGGGGAGGAAGCACAGAAAAAGAGAAAAAGAAAAGCATTTAAAAATGAAAATAACAACTCACTGACACAGAATGTGTCTATCCATACATCCATACAACTATAATTAGACAGCCTAAAATAATTACAGCAGGATTTTTTTTTTTTAAATGAAGGTCAAGACAGATCCATATGAAAGAAGAAAGCACATAAACAAGGAAAATAACTCCCCAATTCTACGAAATGTGTCTACTCATAACAAGAAACATCTTTTATTAATAAAGTACATAAAAAAAAACTCTCACAATAATGGAATATTAAATAATGATACGTATAAAATATCACACTGAAATAACCGAAGCATTCATAACATTAACAGGAAACACCACAACAATGTCTTACACCTCCAGCTGCTCTATCTTAACAGTGTGGGACAGGTTTGATGTTTGTCTCGATGGCTGACTCTCTTGCAGAGATCTTCCATTGTAGAGAGTCTCAGGACTTTCCTCTGCAGTCTGGTTCACACTTGGCACCAGAACATCATGATCAGCCCTACAGAATGTTCCTCTAATCCTTAGAGCCTGGCCAAAATCTGACACACATAAAACCTGGGAAAGTTTTAAAATGACAGATATCAAAATGTATAGTGGAAATTCTTGACTTCCTTCAAGTGATAATTTCATTGTTATAGTGGATATCCTAAATGGCTATGAAACATGGAGCAGAACTAACAGACATTGCTAAGTTGAGTTGAGTCATCACTGCACTCTGGGCATTCCCGTGCATGCTCCGTCCTCATCTGCAGCAGCCAGCACAGAGTTCCAATACTGATGATACCAGTCACAATCTGGTTATATGTCCGTCTTGCCTTTCTTCTGAGTGTAGTGAGCTTGCCCGGCCCATCTGGTTACACCCAGATGCCTCATTCTCTCCAGGCCATAATAATCTTCTATCTCAACTGATTCCATTGCTTCAAAAAATGATTCAACAAGCTTATTATCTTTGAGAATAAAGTTTTACAAATGAATTTTGGGTCCATCAAAAATACAAATAGCAGACAATGGAGAATGGGATTCAACAATGAAATTCGCATATCTGTAAATGTTGTATGACAGGCCAGATGTTGTGAGGGCTTTTTGGGAGTGACTGGACAGTGGGGAGGCACGGAAAGGTCACTATGGTCTGGGGAGAATAGAGCTGTGAAAAGTTACAAGGGATTTGACAGCGAGATGGATATACAGTCAGACAGTTACTGATGCCATGGGAATTGGAACTCTTCACTTGCTGCTGAAGATGGGGACGGAGCGCTTTTAGGGTGTCTCGAGTGCTATGATGTCAATTTTTAATTCAACATTCACAAATATGTTTAAATCACTACTAATTATAGCATCGTGAGAGCAGACAGATTGAAGTGGTTTGAGCATATAGAGAGAATGACAGAAAACAGACAAAAAGTGTGTATGCAAAAGCGCTGTTTGGGAGAAGACCGCAAGGCAGACCAATAAAACAGTGGGGAGGAAGTGTATATATGCAACAAACATGTGGAGTCACTAACTGGAAAGAAAAGGCCAATCATAGACATGACTGAAAATGGTTACATCTGAAGCAATGAACCTTAAGGGCTTCAGATGCTGAAGACAAAGAAGATATAACTAAATCAGTGCCAAGGAATTCAGCAAGCAATTGATAGTTTTTGGCTTTTAAAATTTACAAGTGATCCTTTACAAAGAAAATTAAATCCCTTTCAAACAAAAAAGACACAAACAACAGACTGCACAATTTATTGCCTGGCATATTTCCCTGTATCTCGTTAGGTGCATTCTACAGTAACAATTACATAAATGAAGTAGATAAGTGAACCCTTTATAACTGAAGTACAAATTCAACAACGATCAAACATAATTGCCTGTTTTACCAAAGCAGCCACAAAGTCAGAACCATATCTTTTTGTCTGTTTTTTATCTGCTTCATGTAGTAATGATCAATTATTATGAGTATGAAAGTGGCTGATTAGTCCAATATGAGCCTGGAAAGTTCTTGAGCAATACGGACAACAGGTGGAAGCCGCAGTAAGTGTGGGATTAGCAGTACGGTTCTTTCTAGTCTGCCTCCGTTTCTCTGCCTGTGCAACCTCCACTGCCTGGCAGGCAGATGAACCATGTCTGAGGGAAGTACGCCATCCAGAACGGTCTTGCGCAGCAGCCTCCTACCTCGCTGGAGCTCGTCTTAAAGTACTCTCTTTGGGAGGCAATATTCTAGCATGCGGGTTAGGTGACCAGCTCAACGTAGCTGATAATTCTTCAGTCTCGTGTGGATGCTAGGCAGGTTTGCCCTATCATGAACCACAGTATTTGGGATCTTATCTTGCCATTTGACTTTGAGCAGCTTTCTGAGACATTGTTATTACTTACCACAAGAACACACACCACCATTCCTAGAACTGAGCCCGAGAGCACATCACTCCAGTGGTGCTTGTAGTCAGATATACGACTGAGGCAGGTGAAGAACCCCAAACAGAAGAAGATTAGTTGCGCTAAAGGTCTGACCAGTGTAACGGCTTGACAAGTAACTCTTGCTTGCAGATACAACTATTGAGTAAACAAACATACAAAATATATGGAATTTTATGAATATAACTACTGAATAACATACAAGATATATAGAACTTTATGAAAATAACTACTGAATAACATACAAAATATATCGAATAATAAAAATACAACTATTTAATAAAATGAAATATATATGGATTTATAAAAACATAACTATTTAAGCAAATACAAAATTTATGGATTTATAACTACTGAATGAAATAAAATACAAAATATAATGAATTATTAGAATTAAACTATAAATGAATTACAAAATATATGTAATTATAAAACTAAAACTTCTGAATGAGACATAATTATATGGAAATATACATGGAATTCTAATAATACAATAATTGAGAGAAATACAAAATATATGGAATTATAAGAATACAGCTATCTCTGCCACTGCCAGTCGCAAGCCCGGCTGAGAAAGGAGAAGGGTTGGGCATGAGGCTAGTCCCCCCCCCCCCCCCCCCCCACATTGTATTTTTTTTTAAATTTTGCTACAGAAACTTGCAGAAAAGGATGCCATTCCAGTAAACGAGAGGCCAAAGATGCTGGACTAGACACTGATATAACTGCACAGAATAGAATGGAATGGAGGAATAGACTGCTCACACTAAACACTACGCCAACAAACCTCCTGCTGTGAATTAGCGATTTAAACAGTAGGAAAATAAAATATGTCATGTGGACCACTGTATTGGCAGGCTAACGCACTAAACACTACGCCAACAAACCTCCTGCTGTGAATGTAACGATTTAAACAGTAGGAAAATAAAATATGTCAGGTGGCCACTGTATTGGCAGGCTAACGCACTAAACACTACGCCAACAAACCTCCTGCTGTGAATGTAACGATTTAAACAGTAGGAAAATAAAATATGTCAGGTGGCCACTGTATTGGCAGACTAACGCACTAAGCACTATGCCAACAAACCTCCTGCTGTGAATGTAACGATTTAAACAGTAGGAAAATAAAATATGTCAGGTGGCCAAATACAAAGAGTATACTCACTATCAGGTATAGCATACAGTACATGGAAAAAGATGAGTGTCCAGAAGGAAAAGACAATCTGAAAAAGAAAATAATCATCATAAACCACTTCTGCTGTTAAGCAACATGAGAAGGAACAATTTGCAATCCGGTGTATGCTGGCTGGTACTGGCTATTGTCATGCTGTGAAGGCGCAAAGTGTCTCTCTAATGTAGATCCATTTTCTTCATGGCCGTCCTTTTCCGAGATGTAGTGCCTGTGATGGTATTTAAGGTTGCTACATTCTAACAAGATGGCCAAACCACCTGACCTGCTGTTTCTCAATTAATCTAGTACACAGTGTTGTTTCCACAATTTGTCTGATAGTGTCATTATTCACTTAATCTCAGATGGTTAGGTGGGCAGCTTTTCTCAAGCATCTCATTTCGCAAGTGGTGATTTTGCGTACATGGATGGGTCTTAGATAATATTTAAAAAATAGTTTAACAAAAAATAATAGTATTAATAGTTTTTAGTAGAAAATAAAATGCCCAACATTACTGATGACTCAAACCTGGGCCTCCCTCATAAGTACCATGCATTCTTATCCATTCGGCCAGCCATTGCTTATGTTAAACTTTAAAAAAATAGATATTGGAAATATCCTCATCATCATCATGTAGCAGGTTTTTTACAGAATGTTGCTCTCATCACAGCAGGCCAGAAAGACACTCAGTCCTTTACCCACTTTCCTACTTTATGTCCAATGTGTTCTGGAAATTCTGTGCCCTCCTTTGTGCTGGTGGAGTCCTGCCTCTTCTGCCAGACACCATAACTTCCATTACTGTACTCTCCAAACCATTAGGGTATTTTAATATTGGTAGAAGTATTAAAGTTTTCGAGCTCACAACACCAGTTCTGTGTTGATTTCTTATTCTTCTTTGGCTTCCTGCATAGCACTCTCGTCTGGCCACACCCTTCTTAACATCTTGTTCCAGTGTGGTCATGGTTGCAGATTCATAATCATCACTTGGTTCTCACAAATGTCTTACTTCTTGTAGAGCATTTAAAATATTAGCATTGTCCATGGCTCATCTGCCCTCCACAGTAGCTTCACTTGCAAGCTGTTCAGCTCGCTCATATCCTTGCACACCTGCCTACCCTGACACAAATATGAAACTGATATGTCTCAATGTTTTCCCTGTGCACATTCTCATACTTTAGGGTGTCCAAAGTTTCCATGCACAGGAAAATTGAACATTTTTTTTATTAAACCTATTCTATGTGAACACCATTGTTTTGTGTTCTACATGACTACCATTGTTCTGTGCTCTACCTGACCACCATTGTTTTGTGCTCTACCTGAACACCATTGTTTTGTGCTCTACCTGACTACCATTGTTTTGTGCTCTACATGACCACCATTGTTTTGTGCTCTACCTGACTACCATTGTTTTGTGCTCTACATGACCACCATTGTTTTGTGCTCTACCTGACTACAACTGTTTTGTGTTCTACATGACCACCATTGTTTTGTGCTCTACCTGACTACCACTGTTTTGTGTTCTACATGACCACCATTGTTTTGTGCTCTACATGACCACCATTGTTTTGTGCTCTACATGACCACCATTGTTTTGTGTTCTACATGACTACCATTGTTTTGTGCTCTACATGACCACCATTGTTTTGTGCTCTACATGACTACCATTGTTTTGTGCTCTACATGACTACCATTGTTTTGTGTTCTACATGACCACCATTGTTTTGTGTTCTACATGACTACCGTTGTTTTGTGCTCTACCTGACTACCATTGTTTTGTGCTCTACCTGACCACCATTGTTTTGTGCTCTACATGACTACCATTGTTTTGTGTTCTACATGACCACCATTGTTTTGTGTTCTACATGACCACCATTGTTTTGTGTTCTACATGACTACCATTGTTTTGTGCTCTACATGACCACCATTGTTTTGTGTTCTACATGACCACCATTGTTTTGTGTTCTACATGACTACCACTGTTTTGTGTTCTACATGACTACCATTGTTTTGTGTTCTACATGACCACCATTGTTTTGTGCTCTACATGACCACCAATGTTTTGTGCTCTACATGACCACCAATGTTTTGTGTTCTACATGACCACCATTGTTTTGTGCTCTACATGACTACCATTGTTTTGTGTTCTACATGACTACCATTGTTTTGTGCTCTACATGACTACCACTGTTTTGTGTTCTACATGACCACCATTGTTTTGTGCTCTACATGACTACCATTGTTTTGTGTTCTACATGACTACCATTGTTTTGTGCTCTACATGACCACCATTGTTTTGTGTTCTACATGACTACCATTGTTTTGTGTTCTACATGACTACCATTGTTTTGTGTTCTACATGACTACCATTGTTTTGTGCTCTACATGACTACCATTGTTTTGTGTTCTACATGACTACCATTGTTTTGTGCTCTACATGACTACCATTGTTTTGTGTTCTACATGACCACCATTGTTTTGTGCTCTACATGACTACCACTGTTTTGTGTTCTACATGACTACCATTGTTTTGTGTTCTACATGACCACCATTGTTTTGTGCTCTACATGACTACCATTGTTTTGTGTTCTACATGACCACCATTGTTTTGTGCTCTACATGACCACCAATGTTTTGTGTTCTATATGACTACCATTGTTTTGTGTTCTACATGACCACCATTGTTTTGTGCTCTACATGACCACCAATGTTTTGTGTTCTACATGACCACCAATGTTTTGTGTTCTACATGACTACCAATGTTTTGTGCTCTACATGACCCCCATTGTTTTGTGTTCTACATGACTACCATTGTTTTGTGCTCTACATGACCACCATTGTTTTGTGCTCTACATGACCACCAATGTTTTGTGTTCTACATGACCACCAATGTTTTGTGTTCTACATGACCACCAATGTTTTGTGCTCTACATGACCACCATTGTTTTGTGCTCTACATGACCACCAATTTTTTTGTGCTCTACATGACCACCAATGTTTTGTGCTCTACATGACCACCAATGTTTTGTGTTCTACATGACCACCAATGTTTTGTGCTCTACATGACCACCATTGTTTTGTGCTCTACATGACCACCATTGTTTTGTGCTCTACATGACCACCATTGTTTTGTGCTCTACATGACTACCATTGTTTTGTGTTCTACATGACCACCAATGTTTTGTGTTCTACATGACCACCAATGTTTTGTGTTCTACATGACCACCAATGTTTTGTGTTCTACATGACCACCATTGTTTTGTGCTCTACATGACCACCAATGTTTTGTGTTTTACATGACCACCATTGTTTTGTGCTCTACATGACCACCAATGTTTTGTGCTCTACATGACCACCAATGTTTTGTGCTCTACATGACTACCATTGTTTTGTGCTCTACATGACTACCATTGTTTTGTGCTCTACATGACCACCATTGTTTTGTGTTCTACATAACCACCATTGTTTTGTGTTCTACATGACTACCATTGTTTTGTGCTCTACATGACCACCATTGTTTTGTGCTCTACATGACCACCATTGTTTTGTGCTCTACCTGACTACCATTGTTTTGTGCTCTACATGACTACCATTGTTTTGTGCTCTACATGACCACCATTGTTTTGTGCTCTACATGACCACCATTGTTTTGTGCTCTACATGACCACCATTGTTTTGTGCTCTACATGACCACCATTGTTTTGTGCTCTACATGACCACCATTGTTTTGTGCTCTACATGAACACCATTGTTTTGTGCTCTACCTGACTACCATTGTTTTGTGCTCTACCTGACTACCATTGTTTTGTGCTCTACCTGACTACCATTGTTTTGTGCTCTACATGACTACCATTGTTTTGTGCTCTACATGACTACCATTGTTTTGTGTTCTACATGACCACCATTGTTTTGTGCTCTACATGACTACCATTGTTTTGTGTTCTACATGACCACCATTGTTTTGTGTTCTACATGACCACCATTGTTTTGTGTTCTACATGACCACCAATGTTTTGTGTTCTACATGACCACCATTGTTTTGTGCTCTACATGACCACCATTGTTTTGTGTTCTACATGACCACCATTGTTTTGTGCTCTACATGACCACCATGTTTTGTGCTCTACATGACCACCATTGTTTTTGCTCTACATGACTGCATTGTTTTGTGTTCTACATAACCACCATTGTTTTGTTCTCTACATGACCACCATTGTTTTGTGCTCTACATGACTACCATTGTTTTGTGTTCTACATGACTACCATTGTTGTGTGTTCTACATGACCACCATTGTTTTGTGCTCTACATGACCACCATTGTTTTGTGCTCTACCTGACTACCATTGTTTTGTGCTCTACATGACTACCATTGTTTTGTGCTCTACATGACCACCATTGTTTTGTGCTCTACATGACCACCATTGTTTTGTGCTCTACATGACCACCATTGTTTTGTGCTCTACATGACCACCATTGTTTTGTGCTCTACATGACTACCATTGTTTTGTGCTCTACATGACTACCATTGTTTTGTGCTCTACATGACTACCATTGTTTTGTGTTCTACATGACTACCATTGTTTTGTGCTCTACATGACCACCATTGTTTTGTGCTCTACATGACCACCATTGTTTTGTGCTCTACATGACTACCATTGTTTTGTGCTCTACATGACTACCATTGTTTTGTGTTCTACATGACCACCATTGTTTTGTGCTCTACATGACCACCATTGTTTTGTGCTCTACATGACCACCATTGTTTTGTGCTCTACATGACCACCATTGTTTTGTGTTCTACATGACCACCATTGTTTTGTGTTCTACATGACCACCATTATTTTGTGTTCTACATGACTACCACTGTTTTGTGTTCTACATGACCACCATTGTTTTGTGTTCTACATGACTACCACTGTTTTGTGTTCTACATGAACACCATTGTTTTGTGCTCTACATGACTACCATTGTTTTGTGTTCTACATGACCACCATTGTTTTGTGCTCTACCTGACTACCATTGTTTTGTGCTCTACATGACCACCATTGTTTTGTGCT